AATGAGGCATTGCCAGTGACCCTAATTGATGTTGAGGTATCCCTTACTGCGAAGCTGGCGCCTACAGTATGGTTTATGGGATCCACGGGTCCATCCGTGTAGTAGGTTCTACTACCCGGAGATGTTATTTGAGCAAGGACTCTTTGTATTTGTGCCTTTAGGCTAGGCATAGAGTATTGATTTTTTCTTCTTGACAAGCTCAGGACTGAGAACTCGATCAAGTTGTTTGCCCACGGCGGGGGTTCTTTATAGTCCGGGTGAGGGGAGTCTATGCCCTTGGCTAGCAGTGGTTCTTTGAGCTGGAAGCGTATCAATTGGTTCTCAGTGCCATAGCTTTTGATTTTGCTGCCAAAATCTTTAGACCCCGTCTTACAACACTTCAGATACGAGATTCAGACAACGCTGGGCTCTAGATAGGCAGTGCTTGCCAGAGGCGATGATTGACAGATCATCTGCACAAGAGATGATCTTGCATCCCTCTGGCAAGTGAATGTTGAGTATATTGGACATGATGTTATTGAAAAGAGTAGGGCTGAGGACCCCACCTTGAGGTGTTCCATTTTCAAGTGGCATGTGCTGAGGTAAATCACCTTGAAATCTGACATTTGCTGTTCTGTCTTTGAAATAGTCAGATTTCCAGGCCAAGAGTCTACCTTTGATGTCCATGTGGATTAGGGTCTCCTGAATGGTAAGGGGACTTCTTAGTTCAAAAGCCTTCTCCAGGTCTAGGAATGCGGCGATGCTATGGGCTGTGCTTATACCCTTTGTGAACCCGTGCAGGTGTTCATGAGGGGGGGTCCCATTTTCCAACGGAGCCGATTTAGTAACATCTTGGCTGTTTTGCCCAGACAGCTGAGGAGAGAAATGGGTTGGTGCCTGCCTGGCTCCTTTGATTTTGGGATGGGAACTATTATGGCTTGTTTCCACCTAGCGTGGCAGTTTGTCAGGACTTGTTGATGAGCTGCAAAAATGCAATCTTTCCTGCGTCCTAAATGTGAGATGATGGGGTGGGAGATCCCATCAGAGCCTGGTGCTGATCCAGAGCTGTTTTTGTATGTTTTTCTTAGTTCCCTAAGTTAGAACATGGCATCCGAGTCATCAGGTTCGAGCGCCTTGTCTCTGATAAGAGCAGGCCTGCCTGGATTTAAGTGTTGTTGTTTATCCTTCGGCGCAGGAGGCAGGTTGTTGCTGCTGGTTCTGGCCGAGAACTAAAGCACCAGCTTGTGCGCCTCTGATTGTGGGTCATGATGCGTGCATCTCGGGGCTTGGCGGCTGGTAACTCGCCTGATCCATTACCACAACTCTATAAGGCTGGTCTGGTGGCCAAAGGACTGGCACCATTCCAGCCATTTTTCCTGCCTGACTCTGTTGGCGGTTTCCTTGGCATCCCCAACATCCCTCGAAGGCCATGTTGTGGGGAGTTCTTTGCCGTCGGATTTTTTTATGCACATGTTGACTCTGTGGTTGACCGACTTGATCTCATCATTATAGTACCAGGCGTCTTTGTGAGTTCTGGACCATGGACGAGTTTTTGGGATGGTCTGTGAGGCTGCCTGATTTATGGCCTGAACTAGTCTTGCCTCGAGCACGTCCACTTTTTCATTGTTTGGGGGTTCACTGTTTCTCAGACAGTGGGCCAAGCCTTTCTGGAAGGCTTGCCAGTTGGCCTTGTCTGTTTTCCATTTGGGGATGTTTTGTGGTCTTTGGGCTGGACCAACATCGAAGAGGGTAGTGACTGTGCCATAGTGATCACTTGTAACCGTTTCATCGTTTCACCATCGAATTCTCTCCACCATTGTTGCAGTGGTCCAAAACTCCTATCACATGCGTTAGTTCTTGGGTGTTGAGAAGAGCGATCTCTGGGAATGTGTCAAGCACATCTGCGATGTGAATACCTGCCACATTAGGCCTCTTGCGGGGATTCAGCATGGACGGGTGCGCATTGAAGTATCCCCCTATGATCACTCTGTCTTGTGCTGCAGTAGCACAGGCCTGGTTAAAGTCTAAGCTGGCAGGTGTATCTCAACAGTAAGAGATTCCACGCCATCTCCACAGTGCGGCAGGCTGATTTTTAAGGAGCATGGGATTGCTGCTTTTACCAGGGTCATCAGGCCTCTAGCACCATCCAAGCTTGGAGTGGTGAAGACATAATATCCTGAGAAGCAAACAGTACCCATAGTGTCTCCTGGAGCATGACGATGTCAATGTTCCTTGCTCGCACTATTGATTGGAGAAAGCTTTTTCTATTTTAGCTGCAGATGTTCCACTGTAGCATGCTTAGATTGTGTGCCATGACGTTTACTCAGAATCACTTACATCATAATCGTCTCCACCCTCAGAAGCCCAGTGCTAGTGGCATCTGACATATAGATCCTCGTTGACTGAGGATCGTACATCTTCCAAGTGGTGTGGTACTCTGGTTGAGGGTCTACCGGGAGATGTAGAGCCTAGGTTAGAAGTAGCACTTCAAGTTAATAGACCAGACCTTGGCTGTGCAGAC